ATTTTGGTATATTTCCCTTGGGTGCCAGGGGACCTTGAACCAATAATACCAGCAAACCTCTTTCTAGAGAAAAAGTAACAGATGTCTCCTGTCACTGTATGTAGGTTACAACTGCTTTTAAGGAGAGCACATACTGTATATGTCTAGTCTAGCCTGGTTCACCAGCAGGTACCAGCACGCCTGACATGCTCATTCCACCTGAAAAGAATGAATCTTTTCAGACATTTGACTGCACTGTGGATTGGGGATTATCACGACAATGTTTGCTTGAGGCAGTGTACTAATCATTGCATTTTTTAAAAAAATGGACAAATCATCTTCTGATATATCAAATGTTAGAGGAAAATGACTTGAAGTATTTGGGTGAAGGCTAGAAATACTAAATAAATGAAAACAAAATGTTTAAGAACTATTGTGTAACAAACCAGAGGAATCAATCCAATGATAAATCACCATCTTTATACAGTATCTCATGAGCAACTTCCCTCTATAGCAGGGATGGCCAAACTCCAGCCCTCCAGCTGTGGTGAAACTACAAATCCCATGAAACATCTCTCTCTGGGAGTCATGTCTGTGAGAATCTTGCAAAGCCTCATGGGATTCGTAGTTCCGCCACAGCTGGAGGGCTGCAGTTTGGCCATCCCTGCTCTATAGAGTCACATAAGATGGCCATTCATGAATGCCTGAAACTACCCATCTCAGCTCAGAGTTTGGGTGGTTTGAGAAGTTACAGGCCAGATCACATATTTCCAAAACCTACAAATCTGGATGTTTGTCAGCAAGCAGATATTTTGGACTAGGAAAGGGCAAAAAAAAGGGTTGTATGATGACTCCGTACAAGGTAAATGAGGATAGGTATCTTAATACATGGAATGGTGGAGGAGCAAAGGAAAGCTGAACATGACTGCTGGGCACTAGGCATTAAAGTAAACCTGTTGCTTTGTTATGTATGGGCAAATCATATGTTTGCTTTAAGTCTTAGCTGACCTTCTTAGAATTCCCCTGTAATTCCCACCTATATGAATGATGTAAACAAAATAAAATGTTGGTGTTAAAAAATTTGCATTAGCAATGGCTCTTAAATTACCAAATTGTTGCTTTTTTCTCAGCCATAAAATGCGTGGAGATGAACCCCACCAGAGTAGTTGCTCATGAGAGCATACAAAGATCTTCAAGCCCCACACCGCAATTTGAGGGCATACTCATTTCACGTGGAACAGACAGTAACTGCACCCCAAATGGCAGTCTCATCTTCTGTGAGCCACAATCACATGCCAGCAAGCAACAAAATCAGTATCAGAATCAATCTACTGGGATTATCCACCAAGCAGCAGAAACCATTGCTGTCCCTAATAGAAGGTCTAATCAACCCAATTCTATTTTATCCTCATCACTTGGCTCAGACAGCTCACTCTACACAAGGCCTTCATTCTACAGCAGCGAGGCATCGGTCCTGTCCACTAGTCCAGGATCAGACACCAGCTATATTTTGGGAAGGTAAGTGCCCTAAAACCTTGACAACAAATCAGGCTTCTGATATTATACTATATTTAAAGCTTCTCAGTAATGATGGTGTGTAAACTGTACCACAGACTCACTAAGGCCTAGTGAGAGGCCAAATAGTGAAATGCAAACTTAGATACCTGCTAAGAGTAGCAGTACTATTATTGCTATGAGTACTAGTACAAGTATTATATACTATAGTAGATGTGTAGCCTTTAATTTGTTAAATTTCTCTTGTCTTGTTGATTATGATACGTTACCAACCTAAAACATTTCTGGAGAATACTCCTATAACTTTTTTATTATTTCAATTTACAACAGCACTCATTCTCTTCCATACGATGACACAGATGGCTACCAGTTCTCTTCAAGAATGTTAGAAAGCCCATTTGGGTCTGGGGGGTCCTTTTCCAACTTAAACAGCCCTGCAATAATGTCACCTACCACTCCTATTCATCGCTTTGACCACCATGGCAGTTTTCACCACTCCAAAATTTCTCCTCATGCTTCAACAAAAGGTCACGCCAACAGCTGCCCGCCATCTGTCAATAATTCCAGTATGGACATCCCCATTCTTTTGGTTAATGGGTGCTTGGAGAATGGAGACCTCTCCTCCAAATCTTCCAGAAACTTCCTGAATGGACTCAAAAGAAAAGAATCCTCTAGTTTCAACAAAACGTACTCTGAGTCCTCTATCCCAACATGTTCAGACAGTAAGTACCTCATAAATTCTATATTATGTTTATGCCAAATATGCCATTATGTGCCAAATGCCTAATGCACTGATAATTATGCATAATTATCTTTCAAAAATGCTCAACGTTTGCTATTGTTTTCTCAGGCACTGTAAAAGAGGGTCAGTCTGGCATGAAGTTTGTTATGGACACGTCCAAGCTTTGGTTTAAGCCCAGCATCACTCGTGACCAAGGTAAGGACATCCAGCCAAAGTATATATAGTTTGAGAACTTCTAGAAGATTGCTATAAGAGCAATTCCTATTCTTTATCACAAGAGGAATTGCATTTGTGATTGAGATTAAAGATACAGTGGGCCCCTTAATGGATTTGCCATGGGGCCCCATTACACATTTTAATATTTCATTTTAGTCAAGACATAGTTCAGAAAAATATGATATCGTCTCTCCTGCAGCATTCTTGTAGTCGGTGAAGTTTTAGGCAAATATTTTTCTTACCTCTTTGCAAAATGGAAAAATATAAATAATTGGAAAAATATAAATATCTATTGCTTGAAATTCAGCTATCGAGTATTTGATGGACAAAGAGCCGGGAACTTTCATTATCCGAGATAGCACATCCTTCCGGGGATCCTTTGGGCTTGCTATGAAGGTTCCAGGAACACTCTCCAAAACAGGTTTGTTTGCTGAGCAAAGAGTTTTTCTACATTCGTGTTTGTAAAAGACAGGTTTTCAACCAGGTTAGTTTTAAGGTTTTAAATAGTTTGAAAGCACACAACACTTCAAAACAGACCCAAAGATACTAAGCAGAGGGTCTTCATGACTGTGGGAAGTAAAAGTCCCCTGGGAAAGGGCTAATGATGGGTAACAATTAGAAGATCTTACCTGATTGGTGGTGAAGGTCACGTGGTAGGGAGGAGCTGCAGGGGCTGCACAGAGTCCTTTCTGGAAAGTTGATGGAGGAAGCAGGTTGTCCCACTCACCCTTCCTTATTTTGTGTTTAAAGGTAGTTTTCATTTATATACTACAGGTGAAACTCGAATAATTAGAATATCGTGCAAAGTTCATTTATTTCACTAATGCAACTTAAAAGGGAAACTAATATATGAGAGAGACTCATTACATGCAAAGCAAGATAGTTCAAGCCGTGATTTGTCATAATTGTGATGATTATGGCTTACAGCTCATGAAAACCCCAAGAACCCCAAATCCACAATCTCAAAAAAGGAGAATATTACATGCAATCAATAAAACAAGGATTGTACATAGAACAATATCGGACCTCTGAAAAGTACAAGCATGCATATGTACTCAGTACTTGGTTTGGGCCCCTTTTGCAGCAATTACTGCAATTACTTTTGCACGATATTCTAATTATTCGAGTTTCACCTGTATATGTATTTATCATGGGAGCTTAGTGGGTTAGAGGGTCTTTGGGGGTATGAAAACAGTGGAACATCTACTGGTATGGTGTTTCCACTGGTGGTGTCAGTTGTTGATGGGAGCTCAATCCCTTGGGAAATTGGTAATAGTTAATGCTGGAACTGACCTCGAGCCTGTGGGGGGTACGGCTAGAGACATGGGGTCGATGGGGACACTGGTGGTGTCAGTTGTGGATGGGAGCTCAATCCTTTGGGAAGTTGGGAATAGTTAATGTTATAACTGACCTCGAGTCTGTGGGCGGTACGGCTGGAGACATGGGGTCGATTTAGAAAAGCCTTATTTGGGACACCAAAGACCCCTTCACATAACAACAGTTATTATCTGTTGTGTTATTACTGTTTATTATGATTGGTAAATGTAATTTGTTATATGGCTAAATAAAGGTCTGCTGTGGCCGTTAAAATCCATGTCACGCAGTCTGTGTGTTTATTGGGAACTCAAGGAAAGAGGGCAGTATTGACAAATCCAACAGTCATGTATTTTATGTTATAGTTAAAAAAAAACAGTACGCCACATTTTATTGTCCATTTAAGGTAATATAGTTGCCAACATCTAAGAACATACTTTAATGCAGAATTTCAGTGAGCATGTTCGATAAGGGGCTCTTGTGTTTTGTTTTTGGCACACTTCCTAAGGGCTTGGCACATTCCCGAACAAACGGGGTTTTGTCTGTTGAGTGGCATAGAAAAGAGGGATGACTTGTAATCACAGGCAGTAATGTAACACAACATTAGTCACTGTAAATGTGGAATGGTGAAATTTAAGATGAATGATGCCAAGCCTTCAGTGCAGCACACTGTATGACTCACAATGACTCACGTCATTATAGCTTTGCCAAATGATTAACGTTTTCTCGAATACTGAAGAAAATCCGTACAGTATGTCAGTTCTGATCTAGTAAGGTCCTTCCAAGCAATTGTATTCAGCCACAAATGTTCTGTAGAACCAATTATAATGCTAAATGTATGCTTGTAGTTAGCAATAATGACACTAAAAAGATGTACTAGAGTAAGAAAGGCAAAAAGTATAAAGAGAGCTAGAGAGAAAAGAGAGATATAGAGATGAATGGATTAATAAGGAAAGGTGCAAAAAAATAAAAATAAAAAAATTGAAATAATAAATAAAACTGCATTTAAAGCTGAACTCCAGGATAAATATATATATATAATCTAAATACAAGAGGAATGTATATAATTACATGAATCTTGGTGAGCTGTGTGTATTTCTTCCAGATCTGGGCAGTAATCCAGTGTGAAACATAGTGCTTCCTGTAATAAAGACCGGTCATTGCTGCTCTCTCTCCTTCTGCAGGGTAACTGGTCTTGTCTCCGCCCCCCTCCTGTAGTTTTCTGCAGGGAGTCTATAGTGGGTGGAGTTGCTGGTCCCTTCCCACAGCTCTGGCTGTGTACAGTGCAGTGATGATGTCACTGCTACCTTTACAAGGTCAAACCTGGGCCTGCAAAGCTATTTGGTGCTCATAATGTGAATTTATATCCTTTGTGGCTAATTAGGAATATATTTAAATAAAAGGTTTTGTGCCCAGAGTTTAGCTTTAACCAGCATATTAATCCTCTAAAACTTAAAAAAAACAAACAAACAAGGTATGGCTACTATTGGTACATTTGCTTTCAGTGCCAGGTGTTTGGCATGGAGTTTTCCAAGGCTGAAAGCATTGCCCTATCTTATGAACCCCATATCCTACCCCCTTTGTAACGTAACACTAAACCCCACACAGTACTACATATTAATGCATACTCACCTCTTCTGTGCTGAAGACCATCCCTTCCTGCACCAGAATCTATTTTTAATATGTAGACATCATTTAGTGGACTCACAGTGAAATTTCTGCTGTGCCAACAGATAACACAACAAAGGAGCTCGTCCGACATTTCCTGATTGAATCATCCCCAAAAGGAGTCCATCTGAAAGGTGCCGCAGAAGAGCCTTACTTTGGTAAGTTTTTCTGGACCTAAGTTTTCTTGTCATATATAGGGAGATTTATGCATTTCATGTATCAGCTCAAGTCTTATATATTTTGTTCCTATACTTTCTTCTAGGGAGCCTCTCTGCAATGGTGTACCAGCACACAATCACCCCAATATCCTTACCCTGCAAACTGCGCATCGCTGACAAAGGTACGCCTATGTCAACCAAGGAGGGTGCCCAAACTGAATGGCATACATACAAAGATATAAACAAAATGTACCAGCATGGCTATGATCAGACCATGACTCTGGTGTATGGCTATGGAATGATCAGAGGATGACTTAAAGGAAAGGAAACCTTCACTTCGAGAAATATGGTGGCTGCCTTTGCTGATCTCTTTCTAAAACTTTTTGGAAACTTCAATATGCAATACTGGAAAAAGCAGATTAAAGAGTTGTAGTGAAATCACAACCTCTGCTCTGCATACCTGTACCAGTTCAGTGGCTCAGAATGTACCGAAACCACTGGATCAGTATGGTGACCAGGCAACTGGCATTTTCAGGAGAGCCTCCATATTCTCTCAGTACAACCTTGCTTTTTGATGGTTATACCTAACCTAGTGGCAGACATAAACAAATACAAAATCCATGTTGTTGGTGGGATCGGTGGGTATTTGTAAGATCAAACTGGAATAGCCCTTGGGGAATGTATGCACTATTGAACTTAGTGTTAAAAAACAAGGTTACATTTGAAATGGTATCTGCAGCCAGTTGTGATTTCGTTGATTAAAAAACAATAAAAGCATCTTTGTTCAACCATGACAACAGTTTGTAGATGAAAGAATCTTCATCACACTTAGCTGGTTGGGTCACTGCCTCTTCTATAAATCAATACTAAGCCTTAAAACATCCCTGACTACCTTTTTAACTTTTAATCGATGTAAGACACAGCTTACATCGATACATTTTGAATGGCAGGTGTGCCTGCTGCCCTCTTTCAGGCTAGAGCATCCCAGGTTGCTATAGCTCTTAGCAAACTATAATGCTCTGGCTGGCATCCCGCCCAGCTCCTGGCATCCAGGGACGTCAGTGAGCTGGATGGAAAACCGGACGCCCCTGCCCAGTAACATGCACCACTAGCAACCTTCCTGTAATGGGCACCAATTGCCCCCCCCCCCCATGCTCCGTCGGCACCCCCACTCGGCCTCAGGTGACGAATAGTCTAGGAATACCCCTCACCAAAATGCATGTAAAGCGCATCACCACAATAGCTTAAAAAATGTATTTAAATAAAGTAGAGAATAGTGAACATTCATGTACAGTTTATATGCAAAGCTAGGTGAGTCAGTGGAAGTGGCTCAGCTCCCTCCATCCTGCTCTGCTTTGTACCCCACTGTATAGGGTTTCAATTAGAGAGAGAGAGACTAAAAGACAGAAGCTACTTCAGGGCTGTCTTTTAGAAAACCCAGAATGCTAAAACATGCACCACTTTGTATTTAAACTAGTACCACTTTTCTAATATATATATATCTATCTCTATATATTTTTTTTTTTCCAAACAGGTTAAAATAAAAATAAAACAATTAAAATGATGGTTATCATTTTAATTTCCTTTTCATAATTTTACAGACTCTTTGGCTTTTATGGTGAAAAGCATTGCAGTAAAACCTTCTTTTTATTATTTACAGCTCAGAATGATGGAGGGAGCAGTCCAGATTCTCTTCCAGATGCTACATCAGAGCTGAAGACTTCAGCTGGTAAGAAAAAAGTTCCAAATGTATAGCACTTAAATATCCGTGTTATCCTTTCAGTGTTTATGTGCTTCAAGAGACTATGCTAGACAAGCATGTAAATTATATATTACAATAAAATACAATATAGATACTGTGCATGCCTCTACTTAAACTACATCTGAGGTGAGAGGAGGTGGCTGAGCTCCGTCACAACAAGGAGCTTTGTTTTTAGATAAAAATATACACTGCCATACCAAAAAAAGTCACACGCTCTAATATTTTATTGGATCTCCTTTAGCTTTGATTTACAGCATGCATTCCCTGTGCGATTGTTTCTATAAGCAATGTCCAGAGTTGCATTCATTTTACACCAAAATCATGTAGTGATGATGGAAGAGTCTGACCACTGTGTAAAGTCTTTTCTAGTACATCCCAAAGATTCTCAATGGGGTAAAGGTCTGGACTCCTTAAACCACTCTTTCACAATTTGAGCCCGATAAATTCTGGCGTTGTCATCTTGGAATATGCTCGTGCCATTGGGGAAGAAAAAATCCATTGATGGAAAAACCTCATAATTCAGTATATTCAGGAAGGCAGCGGACCTCATTGTTTGGGGACACAATGTTGCTGACCCTAAACCTGACCAACTAAAACAATCCTAGATCATACCACTGCACCAAAATCCAGGTGGTGACTTTTTTTTTGACCAGGCAGTGTATATAAGATATGTGCTCAGCCCCAAGGTCAATAAAAAATAACAGTAAAACTGGCCTGACACCAGTAGAATTTTGTTTGAGAAAACTTGTTTTCGGATCATTCATCAAAGTTTCTAACAATTACTGGGGTCAAAACAAGGATCATTTTGACCACATTTATGGAAAAATCAAAGGGGCACATAACATTTTAACAGTGAATGTGGCTTTTGGTTCAGAAACTCTGTTCATTCCAAAATTAAATGTTAAAACAAAACAAAATTCCAAATGACATTGGGCAAGTCTGGGGTGGCATTGTCGCATATCCTAACAAGATTTCTCATAAGAACACCTGGATGGAACTATACCAGTGTATGGTCAGGTTAAGGCTCCATGAAATCTAGACACATTTAAGCTTGTGTGCTCTATGTGGCAGGGCACATATCACCAGTACAACCCTCTCTATTCATTTGCATAAGTAGCTGATTGCTTGAAACATCTCGCCAGCAAATCTAAATCTACGACATGCCTTCAAAATGTCACCCTCTTAACAAAAAATGTGTTGTGCTTTTTATTTCCACGCAGCATGCAATGTCTTGTATCTGAACTCTGTCAGCACTGAAACCCTGACTGGATCCAGCGCCATCCAGAAAGCGGTGACTGTCACTTTTGAGAAGGCCGACCTCCAGGTGCCCACTATTGTAAACTTTAAAGCCACAGAACAGGGAGTGACCCTGACCGACATTCAGCGCAAGTAAGGAGTCTTCACTGATGAGGTTGCTGTATTAAAGTTACTTTCTGATTGGCCAGAGACTGACCTGTGCATTCCTTATTCCATAGAGTGTTCTTCAGACGTCATTATCCTGTGTCAACCCTCAGCTTTTGCAGTGTGGACCCCGACCTCAGGAAGTAAGTAGAGTAGCCTTGTTTATGTGGTCAGAGTTATGGAAAATGTAATATCCTCTGTGTAGTAATAAGGGAGGGTGCCCTCTCTCACAGATCCTGCTTTTGCAGATATCACCTGCTGGTGGAATCTGGTATTGCATGTGACTATACAATATAATGATTCTCTGTAGGAACCACTGCTTTGGTCAAAGTGCAGTCTGACCAGTAAATTTAGTATTCACCTGTGAAGAAGGATATGGGACTATTTAACTCTAAGTATACAGCTAATATACCGTTTTTATAAATACAAGCAAATGCAAGATTGCCTACACTACAACAGCTGTGGAGCAGTCTTGGACAACGCTCTATACATTTCTCTGTGCCTCATGGGATCTGTATAGTGAATGTGTAGGTAGTCATACCAGATACTTTCATACATAAGATCCATTGACAGTAGCAGTTGTGTCCATCCCCGCAGTGATTACGGTATTAGGAATGCTTGTTATATGAGCCAAAGACAAAAAAGAATTCGGACAATAGCTGAAAGCTTAACTGTGAGCAGATCTTAAAGTTAAAAAAATAGTTAAATGCATTTTTCCATAGAAGCATCATCAATACTTCAGTCTGTCCTGGTATCAACATCCTGCAATTATCTGCACAGCAACACTCACATTGGAAGGGGGAGAGATTAGCTTGTAAGAGCTTGACCTATTTGCACAAATACACTTACAGGAGCACAGGGTTCACCATTGGTGACCTTATTGTGCTGCTCCTTCATTTTCAAAGGCTGTGGTAGATCCTGGACCAGGTTACATGGCCTATCTGCAGTATAATGTGCAGGGAGGTCCAAGATCAAGCTGTGTTGTCTACCAGATGTGACTAGCTTAATACAATTAAAAACTTTTGGCAGGTAAAACACATCACAATATTAAAAATTAGGACTTTGAAATTTAGGTAAGTGAGGTAAATTGTCGGCAGGATGTAACGTAATAAAAAGGAGTAGCATATACTAATACAAATACTAACATTGATAAGAAAGCAATAAATACGCATATATTTATTTGTGCTCATAGAGAAGCAGCGTTAGTAGACTGTGATGGTGAAAGCATAACAAGGAGATCTTGTTGGGACTTGGTAAGGGTGGATTGCAGATCCCCACCCTATTGCACAAAGTAGATATAGCCTTAGGGAGTTGTGTGAACAGAGTGTGCGTAATAACACCTCCAGTCTGGATGTAGCCTAGGGATTCTCAGCTAAACACACACACACACACTTGACTCCTACCAATCACGCAGCATGATTCTAGAATAAAGTCACTAGCTACATCAAAGCATCACAAGAGAGGAAGGTTAAAGCAAGTAACTGTTATATAAAAAAAAAAGACCATCATATGTTCAGTTATTTTAATGCATTCCCTTGTAAAATATAAAATTACATTTTAATTTTATATATTTGTGTGTGTGTGTATGTATGTGTAGTATATATATATATATATATAATATATATACACACACACACACACACACACACCCCAATCAGGCATAATATTATGGCCACCTACCTAATATTGAGTAGGTCACACTTCTGCTGCCAAAACAGCCCTCAGTAGCAGATCCTTTAAGTCCTTTTAGTTGCAAGGTTGGGCCCCCTTAGATCGGACTTGTTTTTCTAGCACATCCCATAGATTCCAAGTCAACACCTCAAACTTGTTGTGTTCCTCGAACCATTCTTGAATCATTTTTGCATTATCCTGCTGAAAGAGGTCACTGTCATCACGGAATATTGTTTCCATGAAGGGGTGTACTTGGGCAGCAAAAATGTTTAGGTAGGTGTTACGTGTCAAAGTAACATCCACATGAATGGCAGGACCCAAGGTTTCCCTGCAGAACATTGCCCAAAGCATCACACTGCACTGCCAATTTTTTCTTTGTTTTGGATAGTGTAGCGGAGGGTTGAAACCCATTGGCAGGTTGTTGGGTTTTTTGTTCTGCTGTCTCTCCTGTTCAGGGATTTTTCCTTACTTTCTGTAGACGTGAGAGGTAATCATTCCGAAGGGAGAAATCCCCTCTTTTCTTACCCCTCTCTATCCAGTGCTAAAATAAACATTTGGGTCATACTTGTAATAAATGACTGTTGTCTATTTCCCATTTCCGTTTTGAGGTTTGAAAGGCATTGGTCATTTTACCATAGAACAATGTTCCATAAAATGTGACTAATCAATTTTTTAACAATGCAGGGGAACAAACCGATAAGTTGTTCTAAACGTATGGTTTTTTTTTCAGGTGGCAGAGACAATGTAAATCTTCAAGGTAAGACACTCTATAAAATTAACTTGCTCACTATGGGCAGGTAGTAAATGATTCTTTGTTGGGGGGATGATCATGTTAAGGAGTTAACATATCTTATATTTGAAACAAGTGAACTTGCAAGCATTTGAGTAAAGATGTGTAATCTCAAATTTCCATTGGAAGGGAATAAACATAGTCCCATATGTCCACATATGTATACGGAAAAAAGGGCTTCACAATACATAGGGAATTACTTATTCTACAAACATCCTCATTGCACTTGTGTAGAGCTGGAGATCACAATGTGTCTTAATATGACTTTTAATAGGTGGATCTGAATTAAGATTTGCTATGTTATAGGAAAAATTTACAGGTCTATTCACTAAAGAGTGAAGGGTTTGGAGAAGGCAGAAGAAGTGAACAATCTAGGACAACATAGCTGAACTGGAAAGTGAGCTGAATTGAAGAATCTCTGCAAATCAGCTATTTTGGCCTAGATTGTTCACTTCTCCTACCTTGCCCAAACCCTTCACCCTTTAGTGAATAGACCTGTTAGAAATGTTAATTGGGCCTAGGAAGTACCCTAAAATTATATCCTTTGTCTACAGTTCCTCCTTAAAATAGCAGAGCACTTCCTTGAATGTGCGTGTGCCTAGGCACTCCTGTGCCTACAGCCTCATAGATGTATATTTGCAATGCTAGATCTAAGGCACTGTTGCATCATTGTCTCAGAAGATTTGGAGTGAGAATTGATGATGATCTGTGGTGCTCATTGTTCTCCTTGTTGGACGTATGGACATGAGGAAGCAAAACCCTGTCTCTTCCAAGATGGCCACCCCCACGCAGAGACACAGTGCAGAATAACAAGGAAAGGTTTAAACAAGACAATCTTTGGCTGATAGAAAAATGTCATTATTGAGCCTACGTGCAACTTTGGAAGTTCTCCACATATCAGGGGGAGGGGGAGTCACCCAAACAAAACCACATGTAGTTGAGCCAATACGAGTGTCAAACAATAGTCTCAAAGTCTTTTATTAGTCCCACAAATGGCAATGCAAAAAGCATCCAGTGTGTTTTGGGGGCCAAAACCTCCACCTTTATCAGGGCTTGAACACTGTACCAAGATTTCTATTGGACTCAAAACAAAAGTTACTAGGCATGTGAATTTGTATTTGTAAGGGATGAAATGTCTCCAGTCTGAATGTTTTAGGTGATCACACACTCCAAAGTTCATTCAGGACTGGTTAATTCTTTCTAGGTGGACAAGTGCAAATTGTTTAGGTCACACCTGGTATTGGCTTTTCCTGTACACCTTTTCCTTTGAACCATATTAGCTGTTACTGACATTGCATTAAGTACATTTAGGGGACAGCCTCTCTTTTGGAACTCCCTCTGTCCCTCTTCTCTCCTCAGCTGTGACTCTTATTGATCTGATTTATAGACCTATATAATGTACTATTTAACTACCAAAAGTGTCATACTGTACTAAACCTTTGATCCCTCCTCTAAATTATAGCATTTGAAATTTCAAAACCCATTATAAGGGTTGCTGGGCTGCATTGGGCAGAGGTGCCCAACACAGTACCAATGAATGAGCAAGGCAATTTCTCTTAAGTCCTTTTTTTCAGTTGACGACAAAGCTCTGCAAAAAAGTTGGATAGGTTGCATAGGGTTGAATAAAATGTAATTCTTTGGCATTTCAGTAAAGTTTAAAAAAAGTTAACAGTGTGATGCATTATAACAACGCATTGCACTACATCTACACAACAAGAAGGTGTCCTTCTTTCCATCTCAGAAGGTTGGGAGGCATGGGAGGTTCTTAGTATGAAAAGAATAAATACTTGATAATTGTTAATTAGATACATAGTGCTGAGAGATGACCTTTTTGTTTCTGTTTTATTTTAGAATATTTGGTTTTATAGCAAAGAATCCAACAGACCCATCAAACAACGTGTGCCATGTCTTTGCCGAATATGATGCCATTCAGCCTGCCTCACCTCTGATTACCTTCCTGACAAAGTTGATTCAACAGCAAGAAAGAGTCTGATTGCTGATACCACAGCTACATGTGTGGTTTTATATACCCATCCTTATTTATCGTATGGGACAGCAGTGCTACGGGCTCCATTTTTCTTATGTGCTCTTGCCTCAAGCATCATTGTATCACTTTTCATGGACACTTAAAGCAAGTTGCCTAAAGTATGTATGGATGCCTTCAGAAACCTTGAACTAAAGACCAATCGGATATTTATTATTTGATAAAAGACTTGTGATCGTTTGTTCTTTTTGGCCTAAAAAAACAAACTTGTTCAGGACCATTGGAACTGTTTATAGTTTATGCCCACTGCCAAACACAGCAGGGGAAGTTATGGCACGTGACCCAATGTGCAACCACAAGTGGCTGGGTTCATTGTATGTAGAGTATAATTTAAATTAGTTCCAGCATATACATTTTTCCTATAAAGCTCAATTACATTAAATACTTTGAAGAAATTCTGAGAATATACCTGCGGGTGGCACTGCAGGATCTGGAGTCCCTGCTTCCAGCAGCTGTAAAAAATGGTAGGACACGGAGTGTGGGGAAAGGATTTTAATTTTCATATAACATAATGCATCCAAAAAAGCTTTTAATGGCTCTTAAGCTAGCACAATTAGCAATAACGCAATGGATAAGCAAAATGTAGGACACGTCCAAAAATATAAGTTATTCATATTTAAGCTTCTATGCTTAGCAGAAATAATCATACATATACAGTAGATCATAGGGCAGCATAATATACAGGGGAGAAGATTAGAAATGTGTATGTTATTCAGTAATCAATGAGAAGTTAGGACAGGCCTGAAATGACCATTACCTGGCAAGGATAGGCTTATACTTCCTGCTTCCCAGGAAAAATGTCTGGTGTCCGCTCTGAGTCCAGTTGACTGGCAAACTTTATCACATTATAAAGTTATAGTCAGAAAAAGCATGTGAAGGCTGAGGATAGAGATACCGTTTGTCCACTCTGTGTTTGCATAGCTAGAACTGACATCTAGAATAGAAGGGCAAACTGACATGAGATGATCATCACCCGACTTTCAGCTGGATGTGACAACCAACTAGATCATACATTTATATTGCCCTCTCCTATTGTTTCCTGCAAATGCTGTCATTTACTTTTTAATGGCTATAGTTGTGACTGAAACATTTACCTATACAACCATACATTTACCTAAACAACCATACCTTGTCATATCATGGTGGACGATTATGAGACTGTATAAATGAATAATAATAATAATAATCTCAGATTTGCTACACCGGCAGACACCCTAAGTCAACCAAACTTGAAGATGAGGCAACATTAAAAACTTTATTCAATCAATATAATTTTTCTGTTCTGGAGGTGTCTTTTCCACTCAGAACATAAACTTGCATGCTTGTAAGAACAGATTGTGCATATTTATGCATGGGAATTCAGAATAGACCTCTCCTTCTTATCATGCTTATATGTCCAACTGCCATGCTCTGACCATCTAAAGAGGCAGTTTTTACTTTGTACAGTTGTCTTGATTAAATGTTTGCTTTATAAATGAAATTTCACAAGATATGAGCTGTAGTTTGCATACTGTGACAAGAGAAGGGGGCTGATGCTTCATACAAAGTATACAAAGCGCTTACTAGAAGGGTGGTTCTTATCCAAGGATTTTGCGTCATTCTAGTCTTCTCCTTTGATTGGTCACTATGGATGACAGCCTCCTCTTCACCGCAGTTTCTGTAGAAGATGTTCCATAAATACCCCTGATAAATCTAGAATAACACTCAAGCATAGAGTAGATTGCAAGCTTTCTGGGATACGGTTCAGGACTTATATAAATATCTCTCCTCTTCTGGACACTATATCAATAATTACCTGTTTATAAAAAGAGAGAGATACAGGGGGACAAAATAAACAATTGATTGGCACACTGTTTCCTGAACTGGTTCCTTCAATGCACTTTGTCCATGTTGGACTTTGTTTTGTTTAATAGTCTTTTTATTCTATTTATTCTTTTTTATACTGTGTGGAATATTGCTGTGTATTTACAAAATAAATATTTGTGCGGACATTGTACATTGTCGGTATGTGTTCACTGTAATGAAAGTTGTTTTTTCTAATTTTTATCTTGGATAATTGAGACCATGGAAAAAATCTCCTACTACCTATATTGTCGTCATGTTATTAATTACATTTATTGATAAACCAAAATGTATTGATGCTGATGAATCAATGGTCCTAGAGGACCATTATAGCTGTATGGATGAGCTTTGACAACCAGTAGGTGTAGCTACACAAGTATTCTTAGAGCATGAATCAGGACAATAGAAGTTAAAGTGACACTAAGCTCAGGAGATAAATCTCAAAAATGCATTCAAGTACCCTAACTATTAACAAAAATGTATCTTGTGTATCCCTCAGCTGTATCAATCATCTCGGAATTGGTGCTGACACTATCCTTCCTTCTGGAGGGTGGCTACTATTGTTCTCCATGGTCCCTGTGTGTATTGTACAGTAGCCACCACTCCAAGTTCTCTCCCGTGATGGACAACAATCTCAATACAAATTTGTAAACTAAATGTGAGATTGTAGTCCATTATGGGAGGGAGCTTGGAGCGGTGGCTACTTTACAACACACACAGGGACCAAGGGCAATAAAAGCAGTCACTCTCCAGAAGGAAGGGTGAAGGCAGCCGAAGAAATAACCAAGCCGAAGTGAAGTGAGCTGAAACCTCTATTTTACTGCAGGCATACATCTGCTGCATTTGGCTTGCATGACTTCCTTTTGGCTCAGCCGAACAGCCTCAGCACGTTCGGTTGAACCGGAGGAAAAAGCCCGTTCGCCTGAACCTATCCAGATGTTGCATTTCATTCCTTGCTGTTCACCAAACAGCAGAATATATTGCCGAACGTTTAGTTCGGTATTCCGTTCAGTCGTTCTGTTTCCTACCTCAGAGGTAATGCACAGAATGAAAAATGTTAATGTAAACGAGAAAAAAAACACAGTGGGGTCCCGATCCTAAATCATACTAGACCCTTTAGGTCTGGTAGGAATCTTAGGGGGGACCCCAAATGTAAAAAAAAAAAAAAAATTGTAGGTTCTTCTATAAATTTACACCAGACCCTTTAGAACTGGTAGGAATTTTAATGGGGACTCCAATGACAAAAAAAAAGAAAAAAAAATTCCATAGAAAACCCTTAATCCGAGCAATGGCCTGGCAGAGCAGGAAAGGGGGGATGAGCGAGCACCCCCCCTTCCCTGCACCATACCAGGGCACATGCTCTCAACATTGGTAGGGTGCTTTTCCAGGGGGTACCCCTGGAAAATCAACTTATCCCCAATGCTGATGAGGACAAGGGCCTCTTCCCCACAACCCTCGCCCAGTGGTTGTGGGAGTCTGCTAGCAGGGAGTGTCATCTGCATCTGGGTGCCCCCTTTCATAAAGGGGGCTCCCAGATGGCGCCCCCCCTTGTGAATGAATAAGGGGTAGTTGTTATACCTACTCATTCACCAAAAAGTACACAAAAAAAGTAAATAAACACACCACATCTTAAAAAAGTCCTTTAGCTGAACAAAAAGACAGTTTTTGACGAGTGTTATTATTTTTAAGTGTCCATCGATGTAATCCAACGGTCAATCATGTCATCCAGCGATGTAGATCCCTGTCAAACACACTGAACAATGCCTGCCGACTTAAAAATAAAAAATAAAAAAAGCCTGACCTGACCGCTACTGCAGAACACCCGCTGCAAAGTGACAGCTTCTTGCTGAATGTAAACAAATGGGCGGAGCATGTCGTGACGTCATGGCACTCGCTCCACCCAATGTCCATGGCATGTGGTGGTGCTCGCTTTTCTCAACTCTTTCCTGCTCTGCCAGGCCACTGCTCGGATTAAGGGTCTGATTGCAATTGTATGGGGGTCCCTCCAATATTCTTATACCTAAAGAATCACCAAACATTTAGCTAAATCCTTTGGCTCTTTAGTGAATAGCCCCCCTTACAAATCAGTTGATCCCCCCCCATAAATGCTAAGCAGCATGGATGGAGAAATCTACACAACCCCATGGCTTTGTGAATACTTGAACAGTGACTGCATTTGATTGGATTGCTGTCTATGTCCCTTTGAGAGAATTTCCCTCATTTTCAGTTCCAGAGACCCAGCAAGAAGTGAGAGGAAATCTCAGAACGGAGATCGTCTCATCGACATTTGTCACCAGAACAAGTGTCTCTATTGGAAGTGTTCCCCTCTGGACTGCCATACATTTTTGTTCTAAGGATTTCTGAGTCACCAGGACATGGTAGAGGGGCAAAAAGAGGAAGGAATATCCCCAATAGCGGAGAGGGGATAAAAGGAGGCCGAAAAGGGGGGAATATCCTACAATTGGGGCACAAAGAGAGGGGAGATTCTCCCCTTGAGGGGACAAAAAAAAGGGAGGAATCTCATAATGGGGAAGACACAAACACCAATAAATCCCGACAGAGGCCTAAGGGCCGGTGCAGACCTAGGCGGTTAAGGATGCGTGTCCCGGACCGTGTGATCGTGCACGATTGCACACAGTGATTGCCACGCGACCCTATTGATTTGAATGGGGTTACATCCACACAGCAATTGCAGAAAAAAGGTTCATGTACCCTTTTTTGCGACACACCCGATCCACCCGGCTCGACTGGGGTGGCGCTAGAAAGTAATGGTACCCCGAGCCTGATCGCCGCTGGTGGGCGACTCCGTGACCGCACGGCAATCATTTCACGGACCATGAACCTGGCCTTAACCCTTCCATGCTCCATCCAAAACCAAGAAAAAAGTGTTGACTTTTGATACACCTTAATTAGTCAATACATTTTAGTGCACAAAAGCATTCCCATTTATCAGGGCTACGAATAATTTATATAAAAACAATGTCAGGGCCAGTTCGTCAATAATCAGTAAAGCTGCTAATTTCTAGGCAGTTGCAGCTGTTCAAATGTAGCAGTCCATTAAATACAGAGTGACTTCAGGATATTATGAGAAAATGCCCCTTGGGGCATAAGATTTTGTTGACATTATAACAGAAAGAGGATTATGCCTCTTTAGCATTGTTTTATATGTTTAGTGTTGTTATTGTTGTGGGTGTTGCCAGGCAACATATCAGGAAATGTCACCTGTGATTCATACTCTTTCACTCCTTCCTGTTCCTCGGAATGTATTGTTCCAGGGTCTATACTACGAATGTGGTTTGTTGTTATTCTTGCTTTGAGTACAGTTAGGTTTTTTGCCTTGT